GGGAATTGGTCAGGGTGACCCGGGTGGCCCAGGGTGACATCCCAGACGACCTGAGTAGTGGCCTTGTCAAAGGTGCCAGTAGAGGGCCATCCAACATTGAAAGAGGACCAGTCGATCTCACAGAAAGTTCGGAGATGACCTCGAGAGAAACGGATGCCGTAGTCTGTTTCTTTTTCCTGTGAATAAACGTTATGGAAATGGCTTAAGATGTACTCCAAAGGAGAAGATGGGCGGGACTGGGAATTACCCATCTCTCAAGGACAAGAATTAGACAGTGAAAAGAGACACAAAACAGACAACCCAGAGACAGACGAGACAATGAGCAGGACGATAGAGACGAACAGGGCGCCAAAACAGAGAAGACAGCCAAATTCCCTCCAGGAATCCAGAGGGGAGGGCCAGGAGTCACGGAACACAACGCGACTCGAATCTGACCCAAACCAAGGGGAGACTTGCTGCCATCGCAGGATCTCCCTGGACTCAAGGGTATATACTGCTCTGGCCCCTTAGATATCGACCGCAAACCAAAAGAGGTCATAGAGACCTCTTACCTTTGAAGGATTCTCCAAATAAAGTCTCTAGAACGAAGGGGACAGCTGCAGAACCCGAACTCCACTCCTGGGGACACCGACTGAATTGTCGGGGCCCTGGAACCTCTTCAGGACGGCCGTCCCCTGACAAAGAGTCGGTGAGCACCGAGCGTGGAGGCAAGTCAGCCACCCAGATCTCGCTGGGGCCTCCAAATGTTAGGTCCCCCGCTCATTAACAAAGACCTTAGACAAAGAGTTTTTGTTCCAAAGGCTTTATTAGCCAAGCCTGGTGACCGCCTCACTCTGCAAGAGGAGAACGGCCCCGAAGTCTTGGCTGATGGGGAATTTATAGCTGAAGGTGGATACAGAAGCGAAAAAAAAAAAAAGCGGTTAGTGAGTAAAAGAAAAAAAACGGTTAGTTCATCTTATTTTAACAAACTATAAAACATGGTTAGCTTATCTACTTCTAACGAGTTATAAAACATGGCTAGCTTATCTTCTACTTTCTTGACAGGACATTCTGTTATGTTTGGCTGAAGCAGGAGTTTTTAAATTCCTCTGGGCGGGGGTACTTTCCAAAATGAGCTTGCCTAGCCTAGGGTCTGGGCCTGGGTCTCCACAATAGATAATCCCAGGTGGAGAAAGGAGTACATGTCTCTAGAATGGAACCGTTCTCCTTAGCTGGTAGGGCAATGGAAGTAAAGCTCCAAAAAGATTGTTCCCTTGTGAGCCTCTTCATCCAGCATTAAGGCCAAGAGGTTGGAGACCCCACAGCAGATGGACGAAGGTTGACATAGGTCATTGCAGACCACCAGCACCCCCCAGATCCTCTGAAGAGCTCAAGGATGTGAGCAGCACAAGCCTGCAGCTGGAGATCAGGAAACATCACATCACAATTATCAGACCAACTTTGCACCAATAACATTCACACTAGGTCAGTTCTGTGGTTCCTTTTAACAGGGGGGTCCAAGGCTCCATGATCCTTCCAAAAAGTCAAGGGTCTCAGGACAAAGAGGAACAATTATGCCCAAAGGGAAACAGAACTATTCGGGGAGCCTAAGACCCAAACTCCCTAAACAGATTTAAATGGGACCTCTCAGACCAAACTGGAGAAAGATGGTGGAAAGGGGCTCAATAGGTGCAAAGACCCCATGGGAAATGGGATGCCTCTTCCAGAGGCCTGCACTAGATTACAAAGCCCCCGCTATTTCGTGGCAGGGTTCTTAGGTAGCTCAGGGGCCACAGGCAGGAATCATCGAGGATGCCTGTGAATGACTGACATTGCTTGTAACCAATCCTGAGTCCTGCAGGTGTGGAGTGATATGAGCTTTACACTTAGACAAATATGGATTTGAATCTGGGCTGTACCACTTACCCCTGCATGGCTGCAGACAATTCCTTTTATTATTATTACTATTAAAATGTATTGGGGTGACAATGGTTAGTAAAATTACATAGGTTTCAAGTGCACAATTCTGTAATACATCATCTATATATCACATTGTGTGTTCACCACCCAGAGTCAGTTCTCCTTCCATCACCATATATTTGATCCCGTTTACCCTCATCTACCACCCCTCACCCCCCTTACCCTCTGGTAACCACTAAACTATTGTGCAGACAATTCCTTAACCTCTGTTTAGTCATCTGCTTAAATGATATAACAACAGAATCTGACTCACAGGGTTGTTGCAAAGATTAAATGAGATAATGCATGTGAGGTGGCATTCAGTAAGTGGTAACTGTGATGACTTGGGGGCATGGTGCATCCTTCTGTTGGATGCATCCACATCTTCAAGAGACATCTTTAAGAGCAGACTGGTTAAGAACACTTTGCAGGGACTCTGGAGCCAAATCCCAGCAGAATGCCCTTGGGTACATACTACCTTTTCTCCTCCCTATCTGTAAAATGGGGCTAACAAGCATCATCCTCTCAGGGCATATACCTCACAGGGCTGTTGCAAGGACTAAATGAGGCACTGCCATAGAGCACTTAGGACAGTGTTTGCTAATATTGCTAGCATTTCATCTGATTCTAAATAAATTAAATAAATAAATAAATAAATAAATAAATAAATAAATAAATAAATAAATAAAAGGTTAAAAACCCCGCTCCACCTAGAAAGGTCATGGGAAAGTTCAGGTAGCTCTTAACATCAAGGGTATGTTTTCTGCCAATGGGAGGTGCTCCTGCAAGATTGAAGCATAGGTTCCCATATTTCCCCAGGTTCCAAGCTGGAGCTCACACCAGGGTCTTGGAGCTGCATGAGCTCTAAATGTGAGTCTGGGGTCCAGGTGGGGAAAGTGAGAGGAAAAACAACGGGGTGGGTAGGAAGGGGTTGCTGGGCCCAAAGTCCACCACTAGCTCGCACAATCAATAAAATAGTTGTTCAATGAATTAATTAATGAATTGAATGGATTGAACCGTGGGCACCTTTGTTAACAATGTGCGAACAGATCGAGATTCTACCTGGGTTCTGATGTTAATCTGTTAAATTCACCTCATTTTACAAGTAAGAGAAATGCCTTTTGTTATTTTCCTAATTTTAAGAGCTCTTCACAATCCTTTAATATGGACTGAGTCTGTCTGGGGTTAATTATCACCAAGGTTGGTAGGTCCCACAAAAATGTACGCAGCTTGGGGCCGGCCGAGTGGCTCAGTTGGTTGAGAGTGGGAGCTCTGAGTGGCAGGGTCACTGGTTTGATTCCCACGTGGGCCGGTGAGCTGGTGAGAGTGTGTGCTCTTAGCAGCAAGGTTGCTGGTTTGACACCCGTAGGGGACGGTGTGCTGAGCCCCACCCACCTCATCTCCCCCGCTGCTCCCCACGTAACTAAGCTTGAGCACTGCACCTTGAGCTAAGCAACCGCGAGCTGCCAATGGGCAGCCGGGTGGCTTAGTGTGCAACAAGTTGTCGGTTTGACTCCCACATGGGATGGTGGAATGTGCCGTCCCCCTCCCCCCTCCACTCCCCCCCCTACCGCCCGCGGCTGGATTGAGGGCGGCGACTGGACTTGGAGCTGATGGGTCCTGGAAAAACACAATGTTCCCCTTTCCCAATTCCCCAACACTGATCCCCTTCCCAATTCCCCAATAAAAATCTTTAAAAAAAAAACAAAAAATATACGCAGCTTTCAGCCAAAAGCGCAGTTTCCTACAGCAAATGTAGTTTCCAATAGAAGACACATTCCAAACTCAGGGTTATGAGTTAGAGTTTTTGCATTCTGTTTTTAAATTTATTTTTCAGTTACAGTTGCCATATAATATTATACTAGTTTCAGGTGTACAATATAATGATGAGACAGTTACATAACTTACAAAGTGATCACCCCATAGTCTAGTACCCATCTGACACCATATATAGTTATTACAATATTAATGACTATATTCCCTATGCTATACTTTACATCCCCATCACTATTTTGTAACTACCAATTTGTATTTCTTAATCCCTTCACCTTTTTCACCCAGCCCCCTAACCTCCCTTGCATCCAGCATCCATCAGCTTGTTCTTAGTGTCTATGAGTTTGTTTCTGTATTGTTTGTTCATTTATTTTGTTTTACAGATTCCACATATAAGTGAAGTCATACGGTATTTGTCTTTCTCTGTCTGACTTATTCACTTAGCATAATTCCCTCAGGTCCATCCATGTTGTTGTAAATGGCAATATTTCATTATTTTCTTATGGCTGAGTAACATTCCAAGTTCTTGTCTCAAGACAGAACTCTCAATATTACAAGAAAGCTCTTTGTCCTTTTTAGCAAATAGACTCAGCTGAAAGCCAAGATACAGACTAAGTATAGATTTAACCTCAGTCTGATAATAACAGATATGTAAACATTTGCTAGCCTTGTCTTTCTAAAACAGAGATGGTTGTCCTCACAGAGTACAATGAACACACACACAAAGTCCCATTAACAGCTGATAACCAAAAATGGACACTCATGTTTCAGTTCTAATTCCCAGGCAGGCTGTACTTAAAAACCTGAGGCAATTTTCTGCTTCCTCAGACATTTCAGTTATAATGTCCAGCCAAGACCAAATTAAAGAATTTGGAGCTAACATTTTTCTGCTTCCTCTATGCCAGGGTATCTCTAGCACAGCAATATTGACATTTGGGGTCCAATACATCTTTGTGGTTGGGAGCCTCCCTGTGCATTGTAGGGTGTTGAACAGCATCCCAGGCCTCCACCCACCAGATTCCAATAGCATCCTCGCCCCAAATTCTGACCACCAAAAATGTCTCTAGCCACTGCTAATGTCCTGTGGGGGTAAAATCACCCCAAGTTGAAAAATACTGCTTTACAACATGACAAGGAGCTTTGATGCTGATTCCCTCAAACAATGATCAAGCTTGTCAATGAACATAAAGAGCACATCTTCAGACTTTCTAAATGCAAAGTTACTTCCACCTCTCCACCCTTCTTTCACCCCGGGTTCCAACAGTAACTTCCCATGATGTCTTTTACAGAGATCACCTCTTCAGACACAACCAAAGGCAGCCAACAGGTGAGTGAAAGTTGAGTCCTGGAACCTAGCCAGGTAACAAATATTTACAAAGCCCCAAATTAGAACATGATGGTGGATAATATATATTTTATGTG